GATGACATGTGAATTTTGTTGAATTTCAAGCTCTAAATCCATCAAATTTGGACAATAAGGTGAAATTTAGTGACAATGTTGTAAAATTTGGTCAAGGATTACACGGAATAGATAATGATTACGTAGGGATTACACCCCTGTACACAGGATTACGCGAGTGGTGGCCCCCTCGTGTGGGGGTACAACCACCACGGGAAGGCTGTACCCCCTCCCCACGGGTGAGGGGGTACAACGACTACGTGAAGGTCGTACCCCCCATGCCACACTTACCTGAGAGGGGGTACAACTACCACGTGAAGGCTGTATCCCCCTCCGCACGGGTGTCTGTGAGGGGGTACAACGACCACGTGAAGGTCGTACCCCCACTGGAAACGCAAGTGTATGAATGTCGCTCACTTGTAGGTGTGGGAATATCCATTCGCACACTTGTACAGGTGTGATTCATCACGGGGGTACCTTCACCACCTGATACCGGCCGGGAAGAGGGACGGAGTTTTATAACACTGATGTTACTTCTGTTGTTGCTCTCTTTCCCACATACGAAATGAAGCTCGCCCCGAGCTCGCGCCTTCACTTTGCACCCTTTTCCGGAATTTATTCTTTGAATAAACCCACTTTTTTCTATTTATTTTTTTTGGCCGGGTGGCGTGACATTGTGATGAGCCCTAAGTGGCTGAGAGGGAAGCACAGTTCGGTTTGTTCCGGCGAGGCAGTGACCTTGCGGCGGGGACCGGCGGGGACCGGCGGGGACCGGCGGGGACCGGCGGGGACTGCGCAACCACTGGCGCAACTTTATTTGGGATTCGATCCGCCCCCATGATTGCTTCCAAAGTGTGTGACGACCCGACCCGCAAAAGTGCGTGACAAAAGTAGGATCACATGCACACAAGAGGCTGGGCGAGTCAGAGGTAAAGGTGCCGTGCCACCCATGGTGCAAAGGGCCACTTAAGCACCTTTCCAGGGATTGTAACGTGCCCTTGATTATGTGTTGATTTGTACCTCTGTACTTAGAGCTACCGGTGGACTTGTTACCTTCACAAAGAGTGTCTTTAAAAAATGGCCTACTCTGTAAAACAATAGTCGATAGGTTTACAGAAAAATTTTCCTTGGCGCAAGTTGTAAAATTACAATTTGTAATCGTAAAAATACATGCAGCATGTATCGACTTCAAATCCCTTTGCGAGTAAAAAATGTGCTGTCGTAAATTGACAACTTAGATTATAATTCGAGTTTACCACTTACTTTTTTTGTAAATTTACGACAATATTTTTCACAGTGTACCTCTCTGCTCTCAGTTTCGATGTTTTTAAAACCTTTTCAATACCTTTGACATCTATCACGGCACTCTCAGTTTTAACGTCAAAGTTCGCGATCCTTTTTTTATTCATATCTTGCTCTCTTCTCTCATAAAAGGGAAGGGGAATTGTCATAGGCAATGTTACAACCGGTGTACGTGTGCCTAGTTTAGACTTTCTTGTGCCCTTTTTGGATGTCACACACACTGCGCATGAGATGGGCACGCGAAATTTCTTTCGCGACGCTGAACTTGAACGACGACGAAAACCTGCACTCGGCGGAACGGCGGCGTGGCTTCTCTCCCTTTCACTCTCTATGAGACTGACTAGGTAATGACTAGGTGCGCGGTGGAGGTTTAGAAGGGGGGGGGGTGCAACTGGTACTGGAAGAGGAGGGGGAGGGGGGCCTGGCGCCGCGGCCACGGGTCATTGCCTCGGACCCTCCCGACCACTTGGGCGTGTACACACACATACACACACGCACACGCGCGCGCGCACACACACACACGCACACAAACACACACACGCACATACACGCACACACTCCAAGACCAGAACCTCCCCTCGGGTGAGAGAGCGCGACAGAGATAGAAGAGACAGCCCAGCGACCAATGCAAATGTATCGATTTCTAACACTTCACT